ACTATAACCAAGAGAATAAGTTACATATTAATATATTTATTCTAACAGAATTATTTTATGTTGAATTGATAGTTGTTAATTTCAAACCCTTTTTAATGTCATCTTCTATCCTTCTCAAGCTTCTGTTTTAAAAGCAGCTTTCACATTTATGAATTAAACCATGATTAGAGAAAATGAAAGAAGATTATGACACACGTGTATGAAGCATGACAAGCTACTGAGCATGAAAATTAGATGAGAAAAGAAAAATAACAGGAAAGAAGACACTTACTCTGGTGTTTGCATGTTTCTCTTTTCCCTAAAAACAAAACAAAATTTATGAATTAAATAATAGCATTGATAGTTGGAACATTAAGTCTATCTGATGATGAAAATAGTACATGAGGTGGAAATGCTGACAATGTCACTGCTAAATGCAACTTGGCAGCATTTGCAACCAGCTTTATGACAAGGCCTTGATGAACGCACATATAAAGATGTGATACTGATGACAGACACACACACACAGAAATGAAAATGCAAGTTAAAGAACAAGCTTCTGGCTAACATAAACTCTGTGACGAAATGAAATTGTAGTTCATGTAAGAAATGGCAGAAATTACGTTACTTGCTGCTTTCCTTTTTATGTTATTCTCTTTTATAATATGTCTCAATACAGTTCATATCCTCAACAAGATTGATTTTATTAAAGTTAGCATCTTAGAAATTACTTAAAGTTCTCCTAAATGAATGATCCTTTATTGTTATTTTATTTGTTTGGTGAGTTATGTGGAGAATTTTAACCCTTTCGGCTAAAACAATTAAAGTCCCTATAGCCACTCTCCTGAAAATTACTATATGTGTTTAGACAAGAAATAGATCATTATTTCAATTAAAGTTTCAATTAAAGGCCTGGTTTAATTTTTTCTATGAACTGAACAGTGTTCCTTCAACAAACAGGCACGATAATCTTAGAAAAATCTACAATTACTGGTCAGCATGTGAAAGTACTCACACTCCTTCCCGTCGGCAGCACATGATATAGGCAAGTATTAGAAAAAGCACCAGAGCTACTGCCGAGGGCACTGCCAGTGTAATCAGGAAATCCGAGTAATAGTCTCTGCTTTTCAGTGTATCCGAAGGAGGTTTGTATTCTCCACCATCGGGTAATATCCCCTCGCCACGGATCACTTCCTGGAAGGTGGAAACTTGTTTGGTATTGTCAACCTGATGTGCAGAAGGGAAAAAAAAAAAAAAAAAAAGGACAATTATATGATGAATTAATAGGATGTAAAAACAGAAAGCATTTAACCAACCAAGACATAGAAAATAATCCATACTATACAACATCTTACAAATTCTGGAAAATTGTGTCCAATTGTTATTATTTTTGAACAGTAGGACCTCATGCTGCTTTGATATTTTTCGTTGAAAATCGGTATCACAGTTATTATAACATTGTTCTGATTTTACTTTATTGCCTACAGATACTCCGTTTTTTATGGATTAATTTTAGAGATATCTTGAATAGACAGTATGAGAGCAAAAATTCATTTTCTACTGCCACCTGATTTTTTGATACTGACACCTTTGTGATGAATTCATCCATTTCTTAACGATCTCCCTAAACAACAACACTGCCCTCTCCCGCAGGAAGTGGTTAGAAACGGAGAGCAAAGCAGCTACCAGGAGCCTCCAGCTGAGCTCCCATCCAGGCCTTTCTCCCAGTGCTCACAGCAGCAAGAGGCACTAGCGGAGCTGTTGCACCAGCTCCGGCACCTCCCACCACCCACACGATGCTGGAATCAAATCCCCTAGTTGATGAGATCCCCAGTTTTGAGGTTCTTCCAAGGCTGTATTTAACCAACACTGTATTTGACTGACTACCTTTCTTGTACGACTTTCAAATTTTACATCTCAATTTTCCAGTTATCTTCAGTTAGATATTCCTGACAGATTTGACCAATGTTATTTTGAAAACTCTCCAGATCATTCAGGAAAATAAATTTTATTTTTCTGTGTGCTTGACCTTTTGCTTGAACCTTGCAACTGATGGTTATTTTTCCATAATTTAAACTTTAATTCATGTCTTGATGCATTATAGAATACGTAGTGGTTGAAAACCTTTTTTATGAAACGTTAGAAAGAATACTTTGTTGAGCTTCAGGTACATATATTTTTAAGTACAATATGATTTGACAAAAATTAACTTATGTATACCCCACTTACTAACTGCTGAACTGTATTTTAGGTCAGGTGCACTGGACACTTGTCACAACTTAGGTTGGGATCCACTCGGCTACCTAGTGGAATCTCAAGCCTTAAGTAAATGTGTAAGAAAGACTTAGGCACCTATTAGCCCCTGACAAAAGCTCATACGCAGAGTGAGAATAAGCTGTCCAACAACAGCAGCTATTAAGTTGCATCTCTTTTCAAGCTCTGGGACTCACTGACTTAGGTGTTTACTGCCAAAGTCACCTCATAAAAAGCGAGAGGAAGAGGACATGATGGCTGTGCTTTCACTCGCTGGCCTCTGTTGTGGTTAGGGGAAATGGAGCTCCCTGCCTCCCCGTCCACAGATCTTGTGGTACCTCCTGCCCCTCGTTTTGCCTCATGAAAAGCAGACTGAGGTCAGCCGGAGGGAAGTTTGGCTCCGCTCTCCCCTCCACCCCCTGGCTCAGGCGCGCAGCAAGGAGGCCGCTGGCAGCAGTGAGCGCCCCTACGACTCCGCAAACTCAGTTACTAGGGCAGGCTGCCAAAACAAGGGCTGAGTTCAAGATGGAGATGATTGCCTTCTAGACGGCTAAACTGCAAAAACAAATTAAAAAATACACTTCTCTTTCTAAGAAAATCTGCTGCTGTTACACACCCCAGGGTGATCCGTGCCCTCCTCAGAACACGGTGACATTGCTGCTTCGTGACTGGTTTACGAGGTTCTATCGCTGCTTTTTGGAGGGGTACTTCTGACTAGCTGCTCCTGATTCTGCATGTGTTTAGTTGATTTTTCTTGCATTAGTGTACTATTTCTTTTGAAATTCGTTTCATATTTAAATTCTCAAGACTTCTGAATTCTGATCTTGTCCTTCAATGAACTTGTTCCTTTACCATTTCATGTGGCTGCAAATTTAGTTTAACAAGCACATTCCATCACCCAGCTTATTAATGAAGAAAGGCAGGAAATGATTAATAACTCTTCTTTGATTATAGCTATCCAACCAATTTTGCACTACGTCTATGGTAGTTTCATCTAGACCATGTTTCTCAAGCTTAGTTACGAGACACTATGAAAAGACTGTACCACAAAGCAGTATCTACTGCTGCTTCTCTACTCCTGTCTTTTGTAGAAGGAAATTCATGACTTGCTGTGATTTGTCCTTGACAAAGGCTGACTGCCATTCAGCCTTCTATTATTTTTCAGGTTTTATAAATATTTTTGTCTGCATTTTTAGCAATTTCTTAACAGAAAAGCAATAAACAGTAAATAATCCAGATATTCTTTCAAAAATAAGTATCATTTTCTAGCTATCAAAGAGCTTTCCTAATTCATAATGTATGAAGAGTGTTGCAGGTTGTCTAATGGACTGTGCACAGGAATATCAATCATGATAATCAACATATTTTACATACTATGAAAACCTTTCATCATATCTCTTTTTCAATTTCCTCTGGGGTGATATCTGAACAATCACCTAAGAAGTTTATTTTATGTATCTATCTTCACCATCTTTGCTCAAAGTTATCTGCAATGCTCTCTTTCAATAGTATATCAGTCCCTCATTTTCCTAGTCAAAACTAAATAAAAGCTTCTTTGTGAATTATACTCCTCTCGCAATAAATAGTATTGTTTGCAGTTATCATTTTTCCTGTTTTTGACTGACTTGAGAAGAATATTCCCATTTATTTTGATATCATTAATTAAAAAAAAATTTCTCCTAACTTGAAAGATGTTTTTAACACAAAATATATTTTAACAATTCTCAGAAAGCCTTTTAACAATGTAGAAATATCATTTACCTACTCAGTTCTGTAGACTCAATATTTGGGAAAATATATATGCATATGTACTTTTTAAGAAACCAAGTACAATGAGCTGTGTTAACATTTTAAATTAATTAGCTATGCTTACCTAAATAATTTTCTCATTAGTTCTGTGAGCCCCAGAGTTCTTTAGTCATTTACATCAATCACCACCACTGAAAATGAACTTTGTGGTTTCACTGTTGGCCAGTCACAATGACTGATCAGTCACAATGAAGTGGAATTTGGCAGAATTGTTTTTGGCAGGCTGGAAAAACTCTTACATAAATAATGTCTGGCACAAAATAATGTATCTCGGTAAACATCACTTTCATGCAATAATAAAAGTACTCACCAAAGAGATTTTGCACCAGTCAATATGGAACTGTGTACGAAACTTTTTATCGCAGGTTATTAAAGGTTCCATTTCCTGACTGCATCTCAGCTGATTTTGTGGGTTTTCAACCTCCCGCAAGCATGAAGAGAAAGGAACATCTGCACCGACCATAACATACACACTGCACAAGAGAGTAGTGACAGAGGGTCAGGGAACCTCTCACAGCTACCCAAGGACAGCAACGTACTCTTCCAGAGATTATTATTGTACAAATAATAATCAATCAGGGCTGCTTTAAAGACTAGAACCTTTTCTTTTTGATAGTACATATCATTTAAACACAGGAATCAACATATTCCAACATAGGGTTATTCCAGTTACTTAATAACATTTATTCTGACTGCATAATGTAAAGTTTGCTTAACATTAGGATTAACTTAACTTTTAGAAAGTCACAGAGCTCCAGCTGCAGGTTCCTCAAGTAAAAAAACAATATTACTTTTGAAAATCATGCCTAAACAGCAAGATTTTATCAGTTTCGCTCAGTGTTTTATCGGTTTTGCATAGCATTTTCAAAGCATTTCTTCCCAGTTTTTCACAACAAACAAAGAGAACTAGTATTTCTAAACCTAATTCTAATATGAACCTCCCAGTGTCTCCAGTCTCTCTTGAAAGACTCCATACTCTAGCTGGACTAGCAATAAAGTTTTCAAAATACTGAAAGGAGGCTGTAAACAAAACACTGATCATTATAATAAATAAATATTAAATAAGGGCTATTTAATTGATTATATTATTCATTTTCATACTTAAGTACACAGGATGCTGCTGCAAAAAAACAAGTCTGCTGTAATACCTAACACTCTCTAAATGGCTCCTGAAACATAAATTAGATCCTGGTTGCCATTTGATACATAAGGCATTCTCTGACTAAATATTTGAATAAAATTCAAAGATAAATCTACTTAGCCACTTAGCATTAGTATGGTGCTTGTACTACAGGATATGCATTGGCAAAGTTGCTTTTCCTCTTTCGATGATGTGCTCAGCAACATCAGATGCACAAAAGGGTTTTTCGACAATAATAAACTTTGCTGTGCACTCCATGCACATTTTGTATTTACCTTCCTTAGCTATTATTTGACACTAAAATATCTAAGAATCTCTAGACCTCTTTTTTTTTTTCAAGGGAAAAGCACTACCATATCCATTCTAGTTACTTTCACAAAGAAGTGTCATATTTCAGAACAGAATCAGGGATTATGAATCACAACCGGAAATAGACGATTCCTGCAGTTTATACTCAGCAATATAAATTCCTCAGATATCTCAGCTTATCACTTCCAACTGTGCGCAGGGTTCTTGAAACACAGAACTCGGGATCACAAACTGTACTAGGGGTATGGCTACAAATGACAACGATGAAGGCTCAACCTGAGTGACTTTGTAATATATGTTCTATCACAACCTGTACCAAAATCTTGAGTTTTTTGAATCGAGTACTGCTGAAGAGTCAAAAGTATGCCAAACAACTGCTTGAAGGTGAGACTGGAACTACAAAATAAGTGCATTTACCTGCAGAGGGTTTTGTAATTAATTTCCTTCAGTTATCTAATTCCAACCTGGATTTCAATACAAAACATTAATTGCAATGTTTCTAGAAAGCCTGGAAAAATACTAAGCATTTCAGTAAGATTTAATTTGAACTGATAGAAAGACACAAATAAAATGTTAGCACGACATGCTTACCCCTCTTTCATGTCATTGATAGGAAGGGGAACTCTCCCTCCCCTGTCTAGGGCTGAAGTGATGTTTATTGCGTTCAAGCGCTCCGGCTGCCACACGTTCTTCACCGCTCCAAGAAAGTCTCCCAGGACTTCACTTGCTAGCATTTCTTCCACATTCATATTCCTGATGAAGAACTCCGCTTGATAAGGCAAAGGAAAATCTAGTTGCAAAGAAGAAAGAGTTTTGCCTTTAATGAAGACTTGACAATAAAATATTTATATTAGCAATTAATTCAATGCCATCTTAAGATTGATATCCCTTTCCAAAAACCTTTTAATTTAATTTAGCTCACTTTGAACCTAATCTGATCATGTTTGTTTAATTAAGTGTTGGTAGTACCATTAGCTTAAGCTGAAAGCCATTGGCAATTTATGAAGCAATTGGCAGATGAGGAAGGGAACTGGAGAATGAGATTCTCAGATGGTTTAATCTTCATTAAACAGCTAAAATTACATTCATGCTAATCTTGGGGTCGAAACTGTGACCTGCAGTGACAACAGATTCCAGCTTGCAATGACACTAGCTAGACACTGCTCTGAGAGACTGCAAGGATGCAAATCCAAAACGCTGCAGTTTCAGGTTGAACCTGGAGATGACAACGTACTCCCCTGAAAAATTCACATTAGCTTCCTGGATGTCAGATGGGTGCTACATTTTGAGACATAGCAATGCTTTGGTGGTCTTAAATTCCCATCCTGTTTTCAGTATGAACTATGAAATATCTGCTATCTGTTTAACAGAGAAACAACTCTTAAAATGAAACCCAGCTGATATAGACTATGTGTTCTATTACCCTGGCGTGAAGCAGTCTAAGAATAGCTATTTTGGGGCTTGTCTACACATGAATCGGGGCTGGGCTGTGATGTTTGTAGCCCTGTGTGAAGCTAGCAGGGCTTACTTAATTCCATAGTTCTGTTTACTCTGCAGATACAATATTTGTATTACTGTCCTACTGTGCAGCAGAGATCCAGATTTTACAAAAAGAATATTCTCTTTATGAATTAAAACTAAAATAAGTACTAAATACTATTTTTAAACTTGACTAATGAGTATCTTACCCTTGAAGCTATATATGGTAATGCATTTGGAAGATGTACTGGGGACTGAAGATTCTCCTAAGTGATTCTGTTTCATTAGTGGATTTAGTATATTTTAGTATATTTTTTATCTTTTCTACTATTAGCCATATATGCAAAGAAATACACAGGTATACCTATACACTTATACAATTTACACATATTAGCTAAAAAGAAAAACAGTGGTATGCCATACGCTTACTTCAAACATAAATATAAAAACTATTTCCAATCGAGAAGAAATACTACATATTTAGTTCCAGCTTGGTAATGTAACTTAGCATGGCCTCCCATGCTTATTATGGAGATAGAAAATTTTTTCGTTTGGTGATCTATCAGATAATGTCTTCTGTGAATTGTAGGAATATAGCAAAAAAATTAAGAAAATCAGGAAGGAATCAAGATAAAAGTCTGTTGTCTCTCTGAAAACCTTTAGAATCACAGCTTAAACCTGAAGGCTAGGAATACTTTACTTCTGCTTTGGCAATGCTTTTCTTAGACATGCCCCCAACATTATGCAATGCCTAATTTCACTACAGTCTATATCGTTACCTGTATGCATAAAACCTATAGTAAAAAGGTATAGTAAAAGTATACTTCTACATGGACTGATGAATCAAGGTCCAAATACTCTCCCATCAAAAAAAATGCCATTACCAATCTTTTTAAATAGGAAAAAGAAGTGCTTTTCAGCAACTGTTTTTCCTCAGTGGGACACATGCCTTACAAATGGAAGTAAAACATTTAAGGCTTATACAACATGGTATTTATATGAACGGGAGACAACCAGGATTTATTTAAAAAGTTATTTCTACCAAAGGTAATACCACTTTATGCAACCATTTCCCCTCCTATTTTTATATATTACAATAGTTTTTAGTTGTTCATTTAACATAATTAAAATATTTTGTCTCTTTTTCATGACTTTTTCAAATTCTTTTTAAAATTAAAGCAATTAATATTTCAAATTTAATCCTGAAAAATATTGTTTAAAAAAAAAAAAAACAAAAAAAAAACTATTTTTCCTCAGAATTAACACGGGGTTTGTGTCATATCTGATGAATAGTTTCAGCTGAAAAAAAAAATATTTGACTCATTCTACAGAAGAAGCTATACCTGTTAATATTATAGGAATATTGAAAAAGAAAAGAAAACTTGCTATTAGAAATTAGAATACAAGATTTTAACTACAGGATTCCTGTGGAAAGTCTGTAACAGGTAAAATAAATATCTAGCAGCAAGTAAAAAACAAACAAACAAAAGAAAACCACTAAGACTTAGCACATTTTAAAGCATTTTTTTTATTAACCTTGCTATCTCATGTGTATTGTTCACATACCTATGGAATACCCAGCTGAAGCACAGTTTAATTCTCATTCTCCTTTCTAATTCATCTTGATCACTACTTATGTCTTGGGATTCAAATCCACTGTATGAAATAACATCAGCGGTACCATATAGCAGCACCAGCACCACTCCAGTTCAAAATTTACGACAATATGAGAGAAATGCAGTCCTTGGATAATTTAGTCAGATGTTAGTTTAGTTAGATGTCAAAAGAAACAGTCACTATAAATGAGCTGATACACAGGGCAAGCTGAATCTTTTAAGGTCAGTGCTGTCCTGGAGCATTTTCTATTACAAAACTCATCCTCTCATAAAGACATTAAAAATGCACTTTGGTGCCTTGTGATACCATTTCAGAATACCAGCTCTGCTGCTGAAGACATATTTGAACAGCTCAGTTTATTTCAATAAAGCAATACCCACTAATGCTACTGGGGATGTGGGCCACTTGCTATAAATTTTACCTTCTGCTTGAAAAATCGAATCTCAAATTCGCCAAAGAAGATGAAAAATAGTAGCACGTTGATGATGATGAAATCTTTGTCCTTCAGTATGAATACTGGATGCCCTTCTAAAATGCACTTGTAATTATTCTTTGTATAAAGAAAACCAAAGAAAACCAACCAACAAGCAAAAGGAGGAAAATTCTTTGTGTAAGGTCTGTTTCTGAAAACAGATTTTTTTAAAAAAAAATTATTTCCCAAAAAGTTATAGACATTTTTATGAATAATAGATGATAGTCTTACAGCTCTCTTATTTCTCCTTTGTGCCACTACATTTCGCTTGAAGACTGGACAGCTATTTCACAGTATTTTCTATCTCAAAAGAAAAGGAGCCATAGTATTTTTTTGCTTCTATAGTTCAAATGGAACAAGTTCTTTCTGTACATACCTTCTGCTGACATTATATTAATGATCAAATTATGTCTTGCGGTCTCAAATGTACGTCTGTTATACGCAGTGATCTAGAATAAAAAAGGTATGACAGTAAAAAATATGAAAACTATATGATAGCAAATAGGAAAATCAGGTTTATGGAACATTAAAATAATGAATATTAAATGGATAAATTAAAAATGCTTTGACTTTGAACGTGTTTTGCTTCCTTTTTTGAAATGTATCAAAACATTAATATGACATTTGAAAGATAAAACATACCCATTTGATACTACCTGCAAGTCAAATACTGTACTTTTATCTACAACCTACATCCAAATTTAATTATGTATGGAATACGTGTGAATGTAATCTATTTTGATTCAGAAACAAGTGCTCTGCCATACGTGCTGAATGTATCATCACGCATATCCTTTATCCTTAACTTTGATTTAGAAACACCATAAAAAAGACGGGTTTCTCCACTTCCCCTCCTGTCCTCCAGCTCTAAATTCACTGATAGTTCCCAGGGAACTGAATAGAGACATTTAAAGGAAAGATTATTGGGATCCCAGCAATAACTATCTTCATGATATGGGTTTAGATTTAATTCTAAATATATTCAAGTCATACTACATGGACGTATTCATAAATTTTACTCCAAGAAAAGTAGCTTTAAACAAAACCCTGGAATCTATAACTGTACTGGGCAGATACAGCATTCATGCCTCTTACTTTTGGAAACTTAAGCCTCTGTTGGTCAAATTATGCAAGGATATATATACAGAAGGCCTGAAATACTCGCAACTGTCAACCACCATCCTCAGTGCTTACTGTGAGGCTATCCTCCCCAGTTCTACTTTGATTGTATTCTCATTTATAAAAAGAAAAGATGGAATGAGGTTCGTTACCAGCACTATCACTTTTTTAATTCCTAAAGGGGGAGAAATGTTTCACAACATAAATAAAACCAGACTACCTTTCTCCCAGACCTTACAGTTTAGTTCACTCATTTCAGTCACAGAAGACAGGCAAAGCAGTGACCATAGTGACTACGACACTTCTCAGTAAAGAATGTTGTAAAGTGCTGTGAGATTGATTATTAGAAAAGAAAAAGCAACAGATGTTTAGTTTCTTCAAAGGGATTTATTTAAAGAAGAATATTCTGGAGTATCTGTTGCATGCACACACATACGTAGGGGGAAAGTTTAAAAACCAGATACTTGCCAAGTACAACTGTTCACAAAGGTTTTATTGCTGTATATTTTGAAATATATATATTTATATTCTAAAACAAATCTTTTTGAAATTATGAAAGAAAATACCTCAATGATGGTTGGTTTGCCCACATTTTCTAGGGTCGGCGAGCCATACAGCACTCCGTCACTGTATGGTGTCCTTTGTATGTAGCGTAGCCACCCAGGTCTGTCAGGGTAACCCATTAAGTTGGTATTAAATGTTATAGGATCATTACTTATTTCACCTAGGCAAAATGAATAAAATTATCACATTTACAAGAAAATGCTATACACTTTGATTTTGGTGTTTCATTCTGAGCTTCAGTTACATTTTTTAAACATTTCCAAAGTGAGTGCAGGGGAGAATTCCTCATATGAGAAATATATATTAAAAAACACAGCTGTTTATGCTACTGACAACACACATCATGACCCTAACAGAAATTTAATTTTTCTTTAAAGTGACTTTTGAAAATGGTACTCCCAAATCATTTCAAAAGCTTATTAATGAAACAGTACTTTTGGGTTATGCATGCACTATACATGTATTATAGTTTTTCCATAAAAGCTTTTCAGTGTTGACAAGGAGGGCAAATGTTCTCTCTTTCCTCCCTACTTCGTTTATGTATCATTTAACTTTCTAATGATTCACTCTTTTGGCTTTTACCTTACTTGCAAGTCGAAATATAATACTTAGGAAATAACAGCTCTTTCTCCGAAAACAAACTGCTTAATAACAGTAAATAGTTACTAAATATAGAAAAAAGACTGATTCAAAAGAAGCTTGTTTTCATTGAAGGAAAACATTGTATTTTTATATTTAATTTAATTTTCTATTTTCTTCCAAGTTTAGTTATGCCTTCAAAGTGTTCCTTAGTATATACTGATATATACTATGTCTGAAACTGAAATATTGCTCTAAATGGCATTTGTAACAAAGCTAACAGTAAGTTTCCACAATTTCAGGTTTAATAAGTGAATAAAAGATAGCTTTTCTGACTTCAGATCTACAAATTAGTTACAGATCCCAAATTAATATGTAAATTATTCAGAATACAGTTATATGCATACTTTCAAAAAGTATGCTCACAAATCAGAAATTTTAAATTTTAGGATTATCCACTTTATTTTACCTGAAGATATTTTGATATAAACTCAAATCTGCCAACTGCTGACCTATCCTTCACACATGATATACTGCACTACAAAGTATAGTAAACAGACTTGATTTTTAATGCATTCTTTCAATATTCTGATTTTTTTTCAATATTTATATAACATGGAAAATCTTAGCATCCCATACCAGGCTTTGGGTAAGGAGGAAACTCCCCCTTAAAGTACTCTCTCTCCAAAACATGAACAAAAAGAACTCCAGCAGAAGGGTATACATTCCGATCAGAGTGCACCTTAGACAGAATCGTGTACACTGAAAAGCAGAAGGAAAGAAGAGAGACAGAAAAAGGCAAAAATGAGACATGCTCTAGATAAAACAGCATGCATTTCAATGGCAGTGCTGGTATCTGGGAAAAGGAAAGCAACAAATATTAGACATCTGTTAATAAGTTTTTTAAAAGGTTGCGGGGATTTATGGACAGAAGGCAGAGCGCATCCTATCTTTGGTTGTTAGGGTCCCTTCCAATATTTCAATAAACAAGACAGCCAACTTGAGAATTTAAAAAAATGTGCAAGCTAGTTATTTTTATTGCAATGAAAAAAAACAAGTCAATTATATTTTTATTGTTCTTTTTATTGTTACATATACAATGAAAATACAGCAACTGAATGATACAGTCATCTTTTTTGATACCTGACAATAGAACAAGGAATACAGAAGAATCTTAGTAATGGTACTCCTTCCTCACTAGGAGGAAATGGCTGGTTTTTTCAGCTCTAGTGCAGAGAAGGACAAAGCAATGCAGTACATATTTTTGTTTTGTATTTATGAAAATACCTCCCAGAAGCAGATAATGCTGATCAGGCATTTTCAGTCCCAACAGTAGCTAAAGATCTGTATGAGTTCTTAAAGCTAGACTTTTACAGAACAGCAGGCTCACACACATCCTACATCCATGAGGTTTAAAAATTCGGTTAGAGAGCTCATTACTGAAGATGCTGTGGTTGTGTTGAAATAGGATACACAAAAGGGCATGGGAAATTATAGGCCAGTCGAGTGACACTAGCCCCAAACCAAAAACCAAAGCCACTGATATGGGACTCCAAAACTAAAAAACTGAAGGATAACTTAATTCAGAACAAGCAGAATATGTAAAGTTATTTTTGATGCAATTACAAATGCAGTTGCTAAGGGTATACTTAAGTATAAATGGAGAATACTGATCTGACAGATGTGTCTCATGGTGTCTCACAGGACCGATTACTTTTATTCACACAGACCATATTACTTTTTCAAGGTCAATGACCTGAAACAATCAATTATTGCTGATTAAGTTGTAAAGGAGGTAAATACAGGTTGCAGACACAGGAACGCACGCCGTTACCTGCTTTGCAAACCCCCAGGAAGCCGCATGGGCGGCTGCTCCGCGGATGCCAGCGGAGGCCTTGCAGCTCCGGCAGCGCCGCCACCTGGAATGGGGCCTCCCCGCGAGCCTGAGGCAGCGGCGCCACAAGCTCTGGGCAACGGCCTCCACCTCATCATGGACAGAAAGGCTAATCTGAACACTTTTATCTGCCCATAGGCAAGACAGATTCGAAACATCTATCAAGTTCATACCATTATCTCATGCCGGTATAAAGCTTTTCAAACTTTTCACCGTACCTTCCTCCCTATTTGAGATGTGCTTAAGAAGTCCAGCTAATTAGGCATTAATCAGGGACATTCCATCCCCTGCGCCACACACTCCGGGTGGAATCTAACTCACCTAATTTTAGATGCCCACAGAAACAACATCCACAGCTGAATTAGTCAGGCTCCTTTTATAGTCAGTGGAGAGAAACAGACGCTTCTAAGGGTTGATTAATTTGATTTCTCCTGTAAAATGAGATGAATCACTGTCCTAGATTCCTCTGGCTGTGCTGACTAGACCTCGGCTGGTGGTGCAGGCAGCCCAGCTGAGGGGCACACATCCTCACGGGGACCTCCGCGTTAGTCACAGAAATCCCACCCCGATCTCCTTGGATTAACAGTCTCAAGCTCTCAATATGCCATGGATCAAATTCTACAGCAGGAAAACTTCCACATGGCACCAGTGCCTCATTTCTTGACACATACAAGATTGACATTCCATAAAAAAATCATTTGAATTAACAGGAAAAAGGAGTTAGTTCTTATCTTTCCTGCTAGACATCTAGCACTATTTGTAACATTAAAACATCCTGCCATCAATCATACTCACGATCACTTTTTTTTAATCAATATAATGATCAGCTTATCAGAGCTGCTGTTTCTCTATTTTGAAAGTGCTTTTGATACAGTACTGAACCGTAAAATGGATCTTGAGATTTAAATACAATTTACTACAATTATCTGTGGTTAATAAAGCAGTTAATTTTAATTATGTAGACTTAATTTAACTACAATAACTTACAGCTATGTGATGTATATAATTAAAATTAGTAAGTTAATGTAACAAAAGTTTTGTATTCACTTTTGTGTATGAGCTATACATGAGAAAGCGATTAACTCCCCTTAAAATATTTATAAAAAAAAGCTGAACATAATTTATAACATTAATAGGATTATTCACAGAATAGGAAAACTGAGACAAAATAGAGTGGTGAAGATGTACCTAATACTAAAAAGAAAAATCTGTTTTCCTATTTCTGATGTTGGAAGATCAATTAAAAATATATATTTTCTCCATAAATGATACATTTGAAGGAAAAGGGATAATGGAATCAGCAGCTACTGAAGGAAAAATTACTCTATAACCCACCTATTTATTATGTCTTTTAGAGAAAGTCTATTGAAAACCACTTGCCTAGTAATGAGACACATTCTGTAGCTGACGTAAGTATACTAATAGGGACTTCAGGCAGATATAAGGCAGTCATCTTGGTGGAAGCTTAAAAATGCACTCAGATGGAAAGAAAATAAGAAAAAACACAGAATCTTATTTTATTCTGTGATGGTAAGTAAATACATTGTAATGACATGAATCTGGAGATTAAGAATTGGAAAGTTCTCTGCCTTTGTCAGAGAAGCTCCTTTTTCCCCAGTGGGGCTCCTTCAACATTAGAAGGAAAACTATGAGTCTTCAGCCCACTCCAGCAATCATTGCTTTTCAAGAATGAAACTCTAAATGAAATGCTATTCCCTTCGGGCTTTTAAAACCCAAAGTAATTTTCATAAGATTGCCTAAGACCAGAGATGAATGTTTAAATATCTCAAGCAATCAAGGGATGAAACTGGGGGACTTACCAATGCCTAAATATCCGTCTAATAAGGAAGACTGCCAATGGGGATTATGGGGATTTTACCCGTGCAGATAAAACCCTGGAGACTTGTGAAAGGATTCTATCCAACTAACCATGGGATATTTCTTCACTAATAGTCATATATAGGACCACAACAGAAACCTAAAAAAAGACAGTATTGGCTACCTTGACAGCATTGCTTTTTTTTCCCCCTTGTTTCTAGATCCTTCCGTAGATTCTCGAAGATCCCAAGACCCCACCAAAAAGGTTAGGAAATTTGGAGACTTGAGAAAGAAGGAGACAGCCTGGAAACAGAAGATTGAGAAATATACATTGCTCTTCTTGAACAACGTTGAGAAATTGCCCCAGTTGTCCGTCCTGTAACCTTGACGGCAAGCAAAAATTCATCTGGGATTTTCTCAGCGTCCATCACGTAAACTGTAAACAGCCACACGTTAGGGCTCATTTATCAGATAAGGACCATCCCACTCTCCAGAAACTTCAGAAGATTTCCTGTGTTGATTGGAGTCTTGTGTGTTGATGATCTTCGGAAAAAAATCCACATGGAAATTTTCTCTGAATATTTCTATGGAATCTCTCCCCATTGATTTTTATAGAGGAAATACAATTTCAGAAATAACCCGAGTTGGTGGTCCATGCATATTGCTTACCACTTGGTATACAGTAGCTACAATACTCTAAGTATACTTTCACGAATGACAAGAAAATAGTGTTTTGCACATGTACGTAGAACATGTTTTAAAATTGTTATAGACAAGTTACTGCAGAGGTATTTCCAGGCAGCAATAAGAAAATGCACAAGATTAGATTGTGCACACAGCCATTACTTCAAGCAAAGCCATAGCTGCAACAGAAAAAGCTGGGGAAAACTCAAAGACACACAGGTCTGTGAATGCTTAAAATACTGGAAAAAATGCACTTTTTCAAAATTACTTACCTTTAAGTATCACCTTTTTCCTAAAACAAGGACATGACTGGAAAAGCAAGAATATTAAAAGCAGATTTGACTGAACCAACACAAGTTTTAAATTTACAACCTAAACTCACCATTCTTCTCAACAGCCTTTATTCTGCTGATAATATAACTGTTGGCTTGCTTAGTCTTCCAGTTAACTGTTCCATTTATGCCATCAGCAGAGCTTAACAAAAAAGCTTTCCAAAATAAAACAAATGCAAAAGAAATTAGTCAGATCAACAGATTTCTACAAATTCAGTGTCAGGTGGGATCAAATGCCTCCTAAATGGGAGTTTGTTTTTCAGTGTTTTTTCTCCAGGGTTCAGGAACCTCAGTTTAAAAATGGGGATATTTCATGTGAATACATGATAATCTTTCTGGTAGTCACCATTTTGACACTTTTTTTTTTTTTTTCCGAACAAGCTAAGTTTACACTGAACATTCCAACATTTGCAGATGCTTTTGTTGATACATAATTATAAAAAGCATGATGAAGAACATTCTCTGATGAACATAAATGTCACATACAGGCAAAAACATACCTAAAGTGACTTTCACTGGCATAGCTTATTTATATAAGCAACACATACAACTACCAGCAAACAGAACTTGCATTCAGATACACCATTTTGCAGGAAGAAATGAGCACTTGCTGGTAAATATACAAGGATCTGTTATGATGGAAGCTTAAGTACCTGCAGAAACTTCTGTTAGACTATTTCAACATCTCAACTACTACACTGACTGATACTGCATCCTCTGGGAAGAATTTAGGTAGCCAAGAGACTCAGTGAGTGCATGGGAATGAGACATTTGTTAATTATGATATTGTATAGTTTTGTGCTGACTTTTGCTGAAGAATTTACTCAAACATCTAAAATCATCTGAAATCGCAACCCCAGAATGTTTCTGAGGTGTGAATTTCTGTTAATCCTCTTTAAATTTTCAATATACACAAAGGATCTGATTTAGCAAAAAGGTATTATTCTCATCCACTGTTTTAAATTGGTCTGACTGATGGACAACTTTCTACCTACTGAATCTACCTACATGCCTTAATGTATAGTGTCCTACAGAGCACACAGCTCAGTACTGCACATGACATATAGTGTAATTTTTCAGTAATTCTTGCAATAATAGAGAGTGTACCAAGTTTTTCCAGGATGAGCAACAGGATGCGCTACAGAATTGTAGCCAACCACAGAACAATCTCCAGCAAAACAATGTAACAAATAATGCAAGACTTCATTAAAGATGAATTAAATGAAGAGCAGTCTTACACTTATGAGAACCAAAAAGGGTTTAATGCCTGTTCTCAAATTGACA